GTCTTTTCTCCTTTAACTATCAGAGGATGCCAGGATTTCTTGCTATTTCTGAGGCAATATCAAATGGGAAAACTTTTCTTGAACTGAAGAAATGTGAGAAAATGATTATGGAAAAGAGAGATTAAATTATTTTTCTACTAAGCCATTTATCCTCATCCCACCCTGAAAAATCAAATGAAAATATTTTTGCTGTTAAGAAATATTTATAGTCACACAGACAGATATAAACAATCCAGTAAAAAAATAGTTTTTAATTCTCTTTGTTTTTTCCCTGTGTAGAAAAGAAGGATGAAATGGGCCATCACTGCCCATTTTAGTGTAGTTTCTGGTGCTACTCTTCCCCAGGGAATAGAACAGTGATCCTTCCTATAGGTAATCGAGTTATGATAGTTCACTTAGTGACTGTTCAAAGTTACAACATCCCCACAAAAAATACTTTGACCTGGTCCCAAACTTATGTACTTTGCAGCATCACAGTGGTTGTTCGCACTTAAACAACTGCAACATGCTCTTTTGATGCCATGCTGAAAGCCCTACACTGCTCACACTTGCCTTCTGTGCAGCCTTGGGTGTTGGAGTCTTGGTTTAGCTAGGCAGAGAAGCCCTGAGCTGGTGTCTCCCCTTCCCTGCTGAGCCCCAGTCTCTCTCACAAGTGATACGGCCCTGCCCTGCCACTTGTTGGAGGGCCAAAACTGTCTGTCTTTCACAAATTGCATCATCGTTGAGCTGGAGAGCTTGGTGCGACAGTCCCCTGCTTCCCTCACTTGCTCTTCTTAAGAAGAACATCTTGAGTTACAAAGATAAAGATGGAGCTGAAAAACAGGTTTGTTGCAATTTTAAAGGAGTGCTTTTGACAAGCAAGGGGAGCAGGGCCGTGGTATACCAAGCTCCAAGCGGTACAATGTATGAAATTCAGGCAGGTTCAGCACCAGCAAGTGGCAGGGCATGCCCCACCCACTTATGAGAAAGGTTGGGGTTCAGCAGTGAAGGGGAGTAACCAGCTTCTCTGCCTGGATGGACAAGGGCTTTGGCACCCAAGGCTGCATAGAAAGTGAGTGTGGGCAGCGTGGAACTCCGAAATGTGGTGCCAAAAGTAAGTTAGTGGTTGATGACTGGGTGGAGAGGAAAAGCCCAAGAAGCTTGAGAACCCAAGGGGTGGGAAGAAGAGCATGGGATCTCTCAGTGGGTTACGGGAGGCCTTGGGTGTCAGAAGCACTAGTCCCCCCATGGCCTTCCCCACTCTGAGATACTCATGCACTTAATGACCCACACATACAATTAGCAAATGTGTGAGCGATAGCGGGGAGTTTCCAAGTTCATTTTACATGATTCATTCTATTTTATTCATAACTTGTATAAGAAGAACAAGGCATTCATAGGTATTCCTATTTTCTTTTCCTGTGCCTTGAGGAATTGGATTGCTTATTTCAACACATACAATTAGCAAATGTGTGAGCGATAGCGGGGAGTTTCCAAGTTCATTTTACATGATTCATTCTATTTTATTCATAACTTGTATAAGAAGAACAAGGCATGCATAGGTATTCCTATTTTCTTTTCCTGTGCCTTGAGGAATTGGATTGCTTATTTCAACAGATAGATTAACTGCACCTACTCCATCAAAGCCTACATTTGCTTAATTTAGGAGACACATAAAAATATAATCTAGTCAAAAAAGCAGAACGGGTAGCATTTCAAGATAAAGGAAATGTTGGAAACTGCAGCGTCTGAGGAAGCATGCAAATTTTTGTGAGTGTCAGGTTTTGGTTTGTAGCTCCCTCCCTGGTTATTTAAACCATATAATTTAGACAGAATAGTAGTCTTATTGTTATAGGGAGATTTTTATGGAAAAAAGATCATATCCCTGGGGCTGGCCAATTACATGCATGGGCTAGTATTGACTGAAAAAGACAAACATAATTTCTAGGACTTCTTCATTTATTCTTCTGAGAATTTTATAAGGAAGATATGAATTGCATATATAGAAACTATAATAGTATTAGAACTATTTTTAGTGGGAAATCAGTACCACTGAAGTATTTTCTTTAGATAATTTTCTTTTCAGCTTGTTATTGTAAAAGTTATTATTTCATTGCATGTATGTATGCTTGGTATATGTCTGAAAAATAACGCTTGCCTTCTACAGAATGAAGAAAATAATCTGTCCATCTATTACTCATTTGCAATCTCTACTTTGATTGAAGAGTGGCATATAGCTTTTTAAATACACGTTTGTGTATATGTGTGTATCTAGATGTGTACACACTGTCACATACATACATCCACATATATTGCTTCTTCATAACAACCATAATTGATAGTATCAAGGCCAGCTAAAAATTGCCCAGCAGTATCTTTTAGTTATCTGACAACCAAAAAAGACTAGCTAAACAGAGTATGAACATCAGAGCAGAATTAAAAGGGAGAGATTTTGAAGTGGAAAACTTGTGGATATATGTATTGTTAATCCAACTTTTTCCTTCTTTTCCTGAATGTTATCATTTATTGACATTCTAGTGTAGAGATATCAAAAAAAGTATTATAGATTGCTTAAGGAATACTTAATCTATCATAGAAATAGGTTTTGAACACATTTAATATTAACACTATATACACTTAAATAATGTGAAAAGTAATATAATCCCATTAAATCAATGGATATCCTGCCTCATTTACCAGAGTTACTAATTGTGTTTACTGAAACATATTCTGTTTGAGTTACCACTACAGAACCATATTTTGCTTGAATAAGGCTCAAAAAGTGCAGATTCTGTTTCTTTCCCCAGGAAAATTTATTGTATTTTATTGTCATACTGTTGACACTATGATCAAGTCCTGGTACAAAAAAATGGTAAAGAAAACTGATGTTGCTTCACATCATTATTATACTTTTAAAAGGTAGTCAGTGTGACTAAAAACTATACATACTTAAAAATGTTTATTTTCATAACTTGTAATCTGCACTTCAAGCATATTCGAAAAGCATGGAGGTCTTGTACCTGAAAGGATAGCCTTTGATATGTTCAGGAATGCACAGAGTATATGAGATGGCTTAGTTAGTTAAGTTTTCAATTCTTGTGAGAAGACATAAAGCGTTCATCTGCTCTTGTTGTTTATCCTTTCCAAAAGAAGCATGGCATGATAATTGATTTTCAAATATATACATGTCAGCAGATGAAGAATAAGGTTAAAAAGCAAGAGCCGGTGAATTCCTGATATTTTTTTCATAAAGGAACTTTGTTTTTATTAAAAACAAACATTTATTTTAAAAGAAAAATAAAACAATTACAATGTAACACAACACAGCACTCACACATATTTGTAAATTTTCAGAGCCGTCCACTGGATGAAAAGCAACAAGGTATCCTGAGATTGAGTATGTATCTTTCAAAAGGGAGATATGATGAAGTCCACCTTTTGTTGTTAGCCATTAAAGTCCAGTCAAGTATGCAATTTAAGAGGCCAGTTTCATTACTTAGCTATTCTTGAGGGTTGTTCTGGCACTCAAAATCATCAGAAATTGTCCATAAAGTTAGAAATAGTTGCTCTTTTTTCTGTGAGAACAGGACGAGAATCCAGATGGAAGTAGGGGTAGAAAACAGGATCCATCTCTTGCTAGAATTAGAACTACATGGCAACAATAATATTGGAACATACTGGTTGTCAGGTCATTGAAAGAGGATCTGGAACAGAGCACAGGACTTGGGACAACTGCTATGGGATCCATTTAAAAAAAGTTACTTTTGAGAATGTGCCTTTGAAAAAGACCTTATTAGCTAGCAAGCTTATTAATGATAATTGAAAGAAAGCCACCAAGATTTTCAGATTGAGGATAATTTAAAACAACTCCAAAAAATCATTGTGTATTTCTTTGAAGGAATCTTAAGTTTGCCATTCACACTTAAGAGTTTGCCACTCAAGTGCCATACAAGCTTAAAAATCTTGGCATTATCTTTCTCACTTAAATTGAATAGCTTGCCTTCACCAAGACTGAGATTTTCATTTCTAATAATTAGACTATTATTCTATGTAAGCTTCTTGCCCGGGCTCAAATTTCAAGATAAAAGTCCTGGGAAACCAGCAAAGCCAAATAATGAATTTTAAACAATGGTGAATGGCGAAATCTATTTTCAAGTTCTGAGTTTTGATTTTATTTGAACTCCCCAAGTCCCAGCTCTGGAACAATATGAATACTCAATCCTAGTAAGTATGTTACAACATATATAAATCGATACATTTTCCATGTTTCTTTCTTCTTCTAAATAGTTAACCACAACCTTTTGTTTTCTGGGAAACTGAAAGTTACTTTGGGTTTAGAATAAAGATGCATATTTTCCATCCAAACATGTTCTCAGGATTTCAGTTCTCAGCTGTTATAAATAATTTGAAACTTTTAAAGGCCCCATGCTTTTTCTTGAAGCTTCATGTATCCTTAACAACATTCAGAGTAAATTGTTACAATTTCATTTGTTCTAGGAAATATTTGAGAAATTCAACAACAGATTCAGTTTAACAGGATGATTTCAAATGGAGGTTAATCAACCATTTGGAAGTTTTTTTTTGTTTTTTTTTTAAACTGTATCTTCATTGTAACCAAGGATTTAGAGTTAATGGCCTATTGGCTTAATGTACTTTTCCAACTCTATGATTCTATGACAAATAGATCTATATAACCTATTGGTTTCTTCATAGAAACTGACTAATTCAGAAGATGTTGCAATTATATGAAATGAAACAATTACTCATTTATTAATAAGATTGAGTTTGTATTGTAAATTTGTTTTGTTGCAATAGTTGGGGGGCTTGTTTGCAAATTTACATTTACAATAAAGATTGACTTATCAATTGATAGAAAGTAATGTATTTTTCAGAGTATAAGATGCACCGGAGTATAAAATGCACAAAGATTTCAAAGAGGCAAATTAAAAAAAAAGTTTTTGCACTCTGCAGACCTGCCAAAAATGCCCCCCCTTTTTTTGAAAAAGGGGCCTGTTTTCATAAAAAAAAGGGCATGCTTAGCCTTTAGGAGGCTTGTAGAGTGCTCCTGGTGGCTGGGTGGTGGTGGTGGTGGTCTTTCAGTATCTATACATGAAAATGTGTTTTACACATACACATATGGACCGAAAAGTATAAAAATACAAAAATATAGAAACTATATTAATCAAGTAGTTGAATGTTTGTCTGTATCAAATAATCCAATCAGGCTTCAAATACATACTCATAGCCAATTTACTTGTAAAATATAAACTGTGATTCAGAAGGTATATAAATGAGCTTCGATTTCTCTGTTTTATCTTATATTTTAATGTTTCAAGTGGATCTCATGGATTTTCCCAGCAATAAAAATTAAAGCATATTTTAAAAATTGAAATACAAGAATTATAGCTGATGAATTCTAAAAGTGAAATTATTTATACGATAGGAATAATGGATGGAACAAATTAAAGATAGTTAGTAATAATAAATCATCTAGGAATATTTTCATGATTTGTTTTTAAAGTGGATGGATGGTTGGATTAATGTAAGATACCAGATATTCTGAACTGCTACACAATCTGACGAGGTAAAAAATCTTTTACAATGAACTAGTCTCCAAAATGAATAAAAGGAGGAAGACATTGCTTTCAAATCTTTCCAAAATTAAAAGTATCATAGAGTTGGAATGGGACATTTTGGCCATTAGGTCCAATCCTATTCACAATGTAGGAATCAATTGCCAGAAATATACACATTTTTTACACAAAAGTTGAGCAAGAAGTGCATGCCTTTGGTCATCTTTGACTTTGGCATCCAAGAAGCTTAACCAAAAGTGGGTCCTGGTTTATATATGCAGCAGGCTGCTGAAATAGAAGAGTCTATAACATTTCAAGTGGAAGAGGGTAACTTTGGTGACTATAAAACTGGATCAAGAAGATGTAAAGCATCCCTTTTCTGTGAAATGCTTATACTCCATTTTCAGGGAACTTAAGACAGGAACATTAAAAATGTGAACCTTTATGGCAGTCCAAAGAAGGATCATCTGAATGCTTTATCATTTAGGAGTTTGTCAGAACCAGAACTTTAATGTAAGGTAGCATAACAAATCCCTTTCATTCTTATGGCTTTATGGACAGAAGAGTTTGAGATGGATTAGCAGAATGATGCAAACTCAATATTTTATCCATGAATAGTTTCCAAACAATATTTGTTTTATTATATAACTAGCGTAGAAAATAAATAAAGAAAAAATGTTTTTCAGTAAATTCTGGGATATTTATGGTGAGTCTATAGAAACAGATGATACGAATATGGAAAAAGAGAAATCTGGAATCTTCTTTCTATAACTACTCAGCCCAACCCAGTCCAAATCTTATCTTAATTTTCTGCTTGAGTGACATCAACAATATAATTTCTATTAGAACACATCTATACAGTACAAATGTATTCAGTAAGAATTCTGAAATTATAGTTTTGTTGAGTACATCAAAAACTTCTTTCTAAAGATCCTAAGGCCTGCACACTGAAAACTATAGGTCTCAGAATTCTGGGATTTGTAAACACAATTTCAAAGGCACTGGGTTGGAGAAAAGCAGAATGTGGAAGAAATAAACCTTCAGCCTCTATAACACATAATCTACAGCTTAATGATATATTTTGTTAAATATTCATTTAAACAGTTACCTTTTCTGCATGATTCTTCCTCTGATCTCATAGAAAATTATACTTGTATGAACTCCTTTACAATCATTATGTATGTATGTATGTATGTATGTATGTATGTATGTATGTATATGTGTGTGTGTGTGTATGTGTATACACACACACACACACACACACGTATATATATATACACACACATGCCATGGAACCTGAAATCAACTGGATTAAATCTTAAATAAAGTATTAAAACATGAGGATGAAAACTTCATTAAAAACAGCAGAGAACATTATTTGACATGTTTAACTCAATTAAGGGATAATATATTCCATCTAGTTTTAAGCACTTCTACTTGTAAATCTATTTTTTTAAAAGCCAAAATCCCTTTAAAATTTGATAAATGTTGTGTACTTGTGTTAATTTGTACAATATGACAAGTAAAAAAATGAAATTATTTCTGGGGCATAATGTTTTAAAAATAATATTTTATATAATCAAAGGGGAAATATGACATCCACAATCAAAAGTATAATAAATGCTAAATAAATTAATAATTAGTATAATAATTGCTAAGGCACAAATTAATGTCCATATTATTTAACATAAGTGCAAATACCCAATTATTTATATTTCATCAGATTGAAACAGAAATATACTTGTAAACATACAGGACATACCTGAATTAAATTATTATGCAGATTGATACATATACAACAGACAAAAGAATATCAGGGAAATCTAAATTTATAACACCAGTGCAGGATTTCTGAAAATTCAATCTATTTTTTCTTATTTCCTTTTCACAGTTAAGACATTTTCTAAAAGTAGATTCTGTTTCTATGTTTGATGCTTTATAAACCCTAGCAGTACTATATCTTAATTATTAAAATTGACTACTGTTATTAGACATAAAGTCAGAACTGGATCTGAGATTATCCAATAAAATAGACTCTAGAAACAAATGGAAAATATTGAGAAAGCTGATGCGGGATCAGGGAAGATGAAGTATTCAAGCACAGCCAGGGAGCTATGACACATTCATCATATTCCACAGTTTAAAATATAAGCAGGGAGATGTTTTGTGTCCTAATTTTCATTCTGCTGCTGAGAAGAAGTCCTCTGATGTTAAATCAAACAAATAAATAAATAAAGCAAACCATATACTTTTAACTGAACAGCAGATTGTTGAAGATCTCCCGTAGAGCCAGGATTAATTTGCATCCTTGAGCAGTAAGAAGAGAGAATGTTGTGCTTAAAAGGGTTGTGTGTGCAGACCAACAATACAATGCAAATCATTTTTTTTAACAAGCAACCTAACATAGATGACATTTACAAGCTTTTTTTTTTAGTTTGGAAGCCAGAGAAGCCAGAGGAAATGAAAGCATTTATTAAATTTCATTATAATTGTAGGGAGGTGGGGGAAAGGAACACTTTCACAATTTATTTTTTTGTAAAAACAAACAAACGAAGAAACCAATAAACCAACCGTGAGTTCCTTTTCCTACACCTCATTGTCATTTTGGCAATCTTTTAAAAGAAAGGATTCCATATCTTGCTATGCATCAGTCAAGACCTCTGACCTTCCTGCATTTTAATCAAGGTTTTGTCAGTTTGGAGCAGGGCAAAAATGTAATCTTCCTGCTACTGTCATTCTCAAATGAAAATCAGGAATGTTCTTCTGGTTTTGAACTCTTCTGTCAGCGATGCTCATTGCAATAGGTTTTCCTATTGGACCCTTTTCTGATTTCAGAGAGATCGCAAGAGGAAACGAGGCTTTATTTTTTAAGTCTGGAATGTGTCAAGTCTCTGAGTTAGGTAGAGATATGTGAAAGCCTCTTCCCTTGCAGAGGATTACCTATATTTCTGTGTCCTTGTAAAGGAGAAATATATCCCATCTTAACATAAGCTTGCCTCATATCATTGCACAAAGACATAGGAAATATTCATTCTGCTCACATTTTAATCTGAATTTATGTAGTCTGAATTTCCTAAATCAAGACATAGACTGGAACTTATATAAGCTGAAATTTCTCCGTTATAATGTAAGTTAAAAATATACAAAAATGTGTATGTTACAAAAATGCAATAAGTTTGAAAAATATCTTTAAATATAAATATATATGTACACACACACATACATACATATACAATTTTTCAAAATGTTAAAAGAAAAATCACTTGGAAAAAAATTAAGATTGGAAAATATGATAACGTGAGTGAAAGAGTCACAATAACTCTATTGAGCAGTGTAGCAAACCTAGAGAAAATAATAGTGATTGGATCTGCTCCAAAATTATTAGATTTTCTGCACAGGAACCTGTTGCCATATCCTGGATAATAGTGAAGTGGGATTATTCCTCTGCAATTTTTTCTGAGATGTTTGCAGTCAAGACTTTTTTTCCCTTGAAAATCCTTACACCATGTAGTTAGGATGAAAGTACCTTTATTATATGAAAAGCAGGACACACCTTATGCCAAAATTGGCATGCTGTTGAAATGATCAAAGTCACATGATCAATTATTAGTGCAAAGTTGCTAATGATATCTTTTCAACAATTGTGATACCTACAAATCAATGTTATGCTATCATTTATATAGGATATAAATGTTTTTTCCCTAGAATCAAGTTGCAATTAAAAAAAAATCTTAAATGCTTCCAGTTGTTTTCTACCTTTACTCTTAACTGACTTCCAACCCAAAGTGCTCTCCCTTATATCAGTGGAAATGATCAGGAATTCTACTCACTCCAGTGTCACCTGAGCCACAGCATCCATGGAACTGTATCCATTTTCCATGAAAATCTCTGTATACCGTCCCATTTTGATGGCTTCCAGCCATTCACCTACAGATCTGTAGACACCATTTCCAAGTGGGCTGTGTTCCCCTAATAAATTTGAAATTCTAAAAGAGAAACCAAGGTATACATTAACATAATCTTTAAAAAAAAGTTGGGTGTACATGGAGGAAGATCAGCAAAAAGAGTTGTCTAGTAACCCTGCAAGTGCCCAATATTAGTTTTTGTTCCTAATTGTATCAAAGCTTTACTTTATAGACAGCTATATAAATATTCTACAGGCATCATTTCCTTTTCCTGATTTTTAAACCCACATTTTAAAAATCTAATTTATTTATTTAAATTTATTGACTACTTTTTAAAAAAGCCTAGAGCATAAAAATAACAAGAAATATTAAGTCAACAGGCAGTCCAGAGTAAAATACTCTGCTACAAAAACCCACAAAACAAAGAAAGGTGACAAATATAAACTCCAGGCTTAGGGCATTTTTATTATTTCATATCTTTAATTTATTTTTGGGGGGGAGGTAGTGGTATTCTTTCTCAAAAGAATTAACCCATTAACATTATAATATGGTGATAGTGTAACATTAGCAGCTGAATTTCATAACTGGCTAAGATACAGACAACATGAAAAGTGAGTGGTGTGATTTACTCACAATCTTCCCAATTTAGCCTATCAAAAACTTTGCAAAGGGACAGTGAGGATCTATTAAACAGGCAGAGAACTAAATCGGTCTTACATACATAATTTATATAAGGAGTTTTTTGGTTTTTATATTTTGTGTGTTTCTTTTCAAAGCTGTAGAAGCAGATGCTACTACATTGAGTCTACTGCCATTGATCCTATAATCTTCTAGAATTCTTAAAATTCAGAAAGCTTATAAATGTAATAAATAAATAAAATAAAATAATACAGTGCATTCTATTTGATTGTTACAGTTGATGCTGATACTGACATAAATTGTTATGAATTTCTAATCTCATTTATTTAAATAATATCATCACTTTGGATTTGTGGCCAGAATTGTCAATTTTCTAAAGAACTTATACTAACTGGCAAAATTCGGGTGATAAAATTCATTGGAGAACAATTATTAGATGATACAGCCAGAGTGCCATCTTGGAATGTTTTGAGTAGGAAAATATAGAAAAGGAAGAGTGGAAGAAAGAAAGAAAGAAAGAAAGAAAGAAAGAAAGAAAGAAAGAAAGAAAGAAAATATCATAGAGAATATATGTATATCCTGCACATTAAAAATATTTTGCCTTTTTTAAAAAAAAAAGCTTAGAAACAGGTGTGGTAGATTTTTTCACTTGGTATTTTTTCAATTATTGTCAAAATATATTCCAATAAATGTTTTTCCCCTTATAAATTATAGGGATTGGATTTTCAATTACTCTTAAAATAGGCCAATTTTGTACATATGCCACATTTGCAAAAGTAAAAACAATAAATTCTTTTGTCCCAAAGGTGCTTTTCCAACAGGAAAAGAAAGAAGAAAAGAAAAATCAGAAAGTCCAGTTGCCTCTTGGAAAAGCACCTTTGGGACAACCATGATCTGAATGACTGAGAATCTCCATAGACAATAGATTCTTTGAAAAATTTGTTTTCAAAAAGCTAAATACACTTTTTAAAAGTAGTGAAATATTTATCTGTTTAGTTTAACTTTCATTTCATTTTCAAGGCAGAAAATGTTGAAATTTGCCTTATTACTGCCTGGAGATTCTAGGAGCCTATAACTAGTTCAGGTTTTCTAAATTCTCCATTTCTGTTTCAGAACAATACAACATGAATCAACTAAGGGGTAGCTACTTGTATACCACCTCTTTCCAAATTAGAAAAATAGTTTGTATTTTGACAATAATCAAAAACAGAGAGACCTAGCATCAATGATAGAAAGATAACATGGTATGAATTTGATTTTATACCTGCTTGATGTGTTCACCAACGTTTTCAGGCTACTGGGATTCCGAATGAGCTTTTCCAGTATGCAGACTATTTCATCAAATTTGGGCCTGCTATTTCGGTCCTTCTGCCAGCAATCTAACATTAGCTGATAGAGAGCAGCTGGGCAGTCCATGGGACTTGGCAAACGATAACCTTCTTCAACAGCCTTAATCACCTAAGGAAAAAACCAATCAAACTCCCAAATGTTCTTCTTTAATAAAAATTATTGTAATCAAAATTCTCCTGAAAATACACAGGGATTTCTATTGTTAAAACATTCAGACCATTTTTCTGCTGATAACTCTACAAAAATAATGATATGAAAGCTATCTATTTGGAAAACTATCCATATTATTTACAATTTCATGCAAGGAGGATAGAATATGTTTTTTATTATATTCTTGACTCCTGATCATGAATAGGGCTACTAGAATCCAGCAAAACAGAAAAAAGTTGACACAGCCAGCCCTGGCATTGGTCATATCAAGAATTACAAAATTTTTTAGCTCAGTTTCAGATAAATAAGACTTCCCAAACCATTGACATTTTGTAAATAAATTTATGGAATTGAAATGCTCACAACTATACATTACATTAAAGAGTAGTGGCCATAACTTCCAGTAGTGACCATAACTTCCAGTTGTTTTTTAAGTGTGAGGGAATGTAATTAAAATTGCATAATGGCAGAAAACTTTTCTACAAGAAAGAAAAATTGATCACAAACATTACCACATGTTGGGGAGCATGTGCATGCACAGGGGAAAAATGCATGGGCAGCGCCTGTGCATGTGGGACAGCGAGGTGGGGCGCATGTGCAGAGTGTGCATGCGCATTGCATTTTGAAGGTTTGGGCATGCGTTCTCATGCTTTGGACACTCAGTCCGGAAAAGGTTAGCCATCACTGGTATAAGGTCTCCTGCTAAACTAATGAGAGGTTTAGTTACTTATGAAAAATAATCAGAGGCTGTATGAATCTTAACTGGCTTAACTGGAAGCTCTTTTACTAATTAATAATTCACTCAGAATAATGACTAAAATTGGAATTTGAACACTATCACTAATTTGTACTACCCATTTGTTAATATATAATCTGATTGTGGTGATGAAGAAACATGCAATTATAGTTATGATACAAAATGATGACAAATCTAATACACAGTTATACAGAATGTATGTATTGCCCTCATTCGTGTAAATCTAGGCAGCGCAACACTGTTAACTCCCTTTTCCCAGAAGAATCTCTATGATTAGCAATATGCATGGTCCCTAAAGATTAAGCTGTGGGAGTCTGTCAATTTTTCTTAACTGAGTAATAAAAAAGTATTTATTCCATGGCAGTCCTTCATCCCTAAAAATAATACTGATGGACCTTGAATTAAGAATTATTCATGGGATGATAGTATCTCTTCCAAGGGAATTTGTCTTGGCCTTATTATTTTACTTTATTGCAAATTGGAATGCAATACTGAAATGGAAGGCTTGGCAACAAAAGAGATTAAAATGACAAAGTGTTTTCCATTAAAAAAAAAACACAGCTGTTGCTTTGCTGGGCTAGCTCAGATGTGTGAAATCTTCATAAATATTTGCAACTTCCTGCATATTGATCTCCTATGTAGTCAACCTGTGATTTTCTAAAATATATATTCAAATAATATGTGATCACTGTATGCATATTATTTACCATCTAATTAGTTAAAAAGTAAATTCCAATAGAGATATGGATGAGTAAACATCTCCCCAAGGTCTATATCTATGGATATCAAGACATTGCATGTGAAGTAAATGTACTGTGAAAGACCAAACAGACAAAGACAGTCAGGGTCTGAGGCAGTGACGTGCAGTCAGGGGAGGCAGGGCCTCACCATTGTCATCATGAACAGAAAAAAAAAATTAAAAGGAAAAGTGCTGAGGTAGTTGCTGCCAGAGTCACA